CGTTAGGCTTAACGAACGAGCCGAACACGAGCTACTTAACGAGCCGAACACGAGCTGTTCACGAACAACGAGCCAAATTGACAGCCCTAGTAGCAAGAAAGATTTATAGGCATACATAATGCTCAATGCTTATCCTTAATATTTTTTCACATATATCACCCAATTCTTATATATTTATATTTTTATATTGCTCAAATTTTTTCCCAACAAACTACTATCCGACCCGCAAACTGCTGTCCGACTCCAGACACCTCCGTCCGGCCACCCGCTCCTGTCGGCCCTTTCAAATGAGGGATCATTTTAAATGAGCATAAAGGTCTTCAATCCCACAGAGTGTCGTTTCTCTGGTGCATATATGTTATTTTTTTTTAAAGCTTACTTTATGATACATGGGCTCAGTACTATTTTTGTATCTTTCTGTGAAAGTTTAAGGTCGAAACTTGGTGAGATCGATGAGTTCATACATGCCAGTGATCCCTTGACACTTGGGAAACTCGAACCCTGGTAGTAAAACCGACGATGACGTTAAGAGCGTCTGATCGGTCAGAGGGATGAGAAATACCTGACAACAACATTATAGATGTCTGATTGGTAATAACGGCCTAAGGACGATTCACCACATGATAGCGACTAGCTCCGAAAGGGGTGTACAACGATCGTCTACGACCCAGAGATGATTCAACACCCGACAACGATAAGGTCTGCGGTGTATGACGATCATCTTCGACCCTAGAGACAATTCACAACCCGACAACGACAAAATTTGTGAGGGGTGTACGGCGATCTTCTACAACCCAAAGATGATTAGCCTCTCGACATCGACAAACTTTGCAAGAGTTGTACGAAGATCATCTTCGACCCTAGCGACAATTCGCCCCTCGACAACGACAAGCTTCGCGAGGGGTGTACGACATTTTCTATGACCCAGAGATGATTCGCCAACTGACAGCAATAAACTTTGCGATAGGTGTATGGAGATCATCTTTGACCCTAAAGACAATTTGTCACCCGAAAATGACAAGCTCCACGAGGGGAGTACGACAATCATCTATGACTCATAGAAGATTCACCACCATACAGTGACAAGCCCTGCATGGGGTGTACATCGATCTTCTTCGACCCTAGAGACGATTCACTTCTTCGTAGCGACAAGCTCCACAAGGGGCGAAACTTGAGTTGAACAAACATCACATCCAAAAAACCTAAAAACTTAACCAATAATCTATTAAAAAAATCTACTCATCAAGGGCCAGGGAAAGA